TCTTTTGTTATTAAGAATTTGTCTGAAAAAAAGCAAACTGATTGAATCATGTGTTAAACATTGTTCTGTTTATTGGCGAAATAATAGATTAATATTTCATATGATATCTAGTCGTAACTGAATAATTCAATATAAAATCTCATTATCTGCCGAATCAATATATAAATCATCGAATATAATTAATACAGATTTTATTTAATGATTGAAATTGTAACTTTTGTTATATACTTATATTTTCTTCATATAACATAAAATCATTCTTGATTTACTACAATGTAAAGTATCTCAAACAATAATGAACAACATTTATAAACGTTTTGTATTTCATTGATCTGTCTTCTAGAAACATAATATGATTTATGTGTTGTTTGAAAGCAAATGTTAAAGATTAAAATAATAATATCAAGTTATAAATATAAGCAACTATTAAATTAATCATATTTTTGAAGTGTAATATTGAATACAAGAGAAAAAGAAGTTGTTTTTCTTTTGCTTGGGGAAAAGTTAATGAACCATATGAATTATATTCATAACGCTATTCTTATTTTGATAAACTCCGTACATCATTTCGATGTTATCATGTTGAGTACTGATAAGCAATTAATAAATAGTCATATTTTAATTTCAAGATAAAAACAAAATTTTTGTATATAATTTTGAAATTTTTCTATTAATAAATAAATAAATAAATAAATAAATAAATATTTGTATTTTCTTAATTAGTTCTTCTTTTATACAATTGATGTATCCATCATTTTATTTAATCCTAGACTTGTTCCATCTTGAGTTGTTTTAATAATTAATTTTCGACATGTTATTATTCGTAAAAATTCTCCACGAAATATTTGGCTTGTTAAACAATATAAATAAAAATTACAAGAAAAATGCATATACATCATTGCACGAAGTATACGAAATATAAATATATAATATGAACTATCACGTGCAAAATTTGGATATTTCACAACAATCTGTTCAATAAAAATGAGATAAATTGTTACAGGTACTGTTGTACAAAGAAATACAATAACACAAGATAACATCATTAATGACATTTGTCGTTCAATAGCTTTTCGATGTGATGAAATTCGTTTCATCGAATTACTACCATTTAATGTTTGATGTATATTTGTTATTGTTAGTTGTTCCTTTGTACTTCCCTGATTTTCAAAATGATGACGATTTCGTCGAAGAATATGAATAATACGTATATTACATAATATCATAATACAAGCAGGTAAAAAACAAAAAACAACCATATCTATTTTTGGCCAAATTATTTTATAAAAATAATAATATTTTGGATATGCTTCACGATTTTCTAAACAATGTGCTGTTGTTCGATTTCCATCACGTTCTTGTCCAATCCCAGGTGAAAAATAATGTCCATTAATACCACATAAAAGAAGAAAACATATTGAAATCATTATTAATGCATTACGTGGGGTGCATATTTTCCTAGTACGTAAAGGAAATTCTGTACGTAAAAACCGATCAAACGCTAAACCAACTATACACCATGATGATAGATCCATAAAAACATATGCAAAAAATGTACGGAAACGACATGCAAGTGCAGAATAATTTTGTAATTGAATAGAAAATGCATCACCCAAAAAGAACCATAAGGATGTTATAAGAGCAATAGAATCACTAATTGAAAGTATAAGTAGAAATATACTACTTGAAATTTGACGCATACGTGAACTGGAAAATGTGATAAGTGCAAGTGTATTACCAATAAATCCTAAGAAATAAATAATTGAATAAAGTGTTGTACCAATACGATTTCCTAATAAATTATAATCGATAGGTTTCATTAATTGAGTAGATAAAAGATTTGTAGTAAGATTCATTGAATACGTTAAATTTGTCATGAGTATATATCTGAAATAAGGTATGAGAAAGAAAACTACTTTATTCCTGTCATAGACGTGTTACCATGGAAGAGTATAAGATTCATTTTTCATAGGAATGTAAGTAAATCTTTGCTTCATTTAACTTGTCTTTAGAGAAAGATGAATAATCCTATGTTGATGAAAATTATTGTCATTAGATGAAGTTGTCCTTTAATAACGTGAGATATATTCCTTTTTTTTCTTATCCAATATTATTATGAAGGAGTAATAAATTTTTGCTTGCTAACACGCGCAACTTATTTTTGTATCATTTTAAATTGCTTTCATTGTTTTTTAGAAACAGATTATTCTTCTTTAAAACAAAACAAAAAGTAGTGTTGATTCGTGACGAAAGATTACTATTTTAAAATATTGTTTAATAAATATGTGATGACGACAGAAGTTTTAATTTATTAATATTTTGTTTTTCTGTATCTCTAGGAAATAATGTATTTTTTAATAATTGTCTAGAAGATAGAACTTGACACCTCGATTCATGTTTGTGAGGTAGAGGTATATGGAGATTTTCACCATTTGGTAAATTAATAATAACAAAATAGGGTGAACGATATGTTGTAAAACGTGATGACGGTGATAAATTATCCGATGATGAAAATTTTGTTGATAATTGATGGCAACTTGCTGAACGGGTACACGGTCGTAATAAATGACGTTTTCTATTTAGAGTAAAATATGGTCGTATCCAGTATATTGCTTCAGATATATTATAACTATATAAATTGTCGTTATTAGGCGTTCGAATTGAGAACTTCTTTTTCATTGGTTGGTTAACCTAAGAAAGAGAGAATAGATAAGAAAAAAAAAACCTTAAAAATGAGAAGGATAAAATCGATGATGAAAAATACTGAAAATTAATTTTTCTTTGCATGCCTCCTCGTGAGAGATAATTTCAGGTTTCTTCTATGCTTTTTATTATTTTTTTTATGGTACTATATTCCATAAACAAAAACATGAATAAAAATCATGTTTTAGTTGTATTATAGATTGTCAGTTGTTGAGTGCGTGCATTAATAGCACACCCTTTCGAGCATCGTTTCCGATCAGGAAACACAAACATACTTTTTCACGACGATATATATCTTAAGCATAAAAGAAATTCTTTTTTTAAACTTACAGATATATTTAATGAGCGACGATTTGTTATATAATGTCGTGTTTGTTTATGTGTTTTTAATGAACTATTTGTTTGACTTTGATATCGTTCTTCATATTTATTTCCAATTAAAAAACATAAAATATTTTTTGCATGAAAACGAAATCGCCGTGATAGAATAATACAAATAAAACATTTATATGCATACGATAATGTTATAAATGATTGTATTTCATGATTAAAACTAATTAAATATGAATAAAATGGTGAATATGGTGATAATAACATAAGTAATATATCACTTAATCGAATTGGTAAATTAACAAATGAATGTATAATACCAATAGTTGCAGCTATATATTTAAAAGAAATATTCAATTTTTCATCATTTTTTTCATTTTGACATGTACGATATATAATTACAATTGAAATAATAAACATAATTATACACGGTATAGAAATTCCAATCAAATTATAACCATAGTTCGTTGCATTTAGTAATTGTTTATTTGTTCCATCTAATATTATTGAACATACACCAACAACTCCTTCTATTCTTAGATATTTATAGTTTTATATTCAATGAAAAAACAAAAAAAACAAAGTTTTCTTTTTTTTTATTCTTTACCTTGTTGATAATCTTGTAAATCTTCTTTTTTTTGATATTTAAGAACTTCTATTGGATATATATTATAAAGACCAAAAATAAATATAAGAAAAACAGTTGAATATTTTGCATTAATATAATATAGACTACGATTCCAACATGAATATTTTTCATTATATTTCATTGTTAAAATAAATTGATTAAGTATTAAAAAAAATAATAACCATGTTGCAAGTAGAACACTCATTTTAGCAAAATATGTAAAAAATTTACAACAAAAATCTGATATATGTATTAAATAGTGTTGACCAGCCGAACGATCTTTATGAATATAACTTAAAAAATTATCCATAAAATGATATAGAATTAATAATGTATCAATTAAAATAATTTCAAATAGAAATCTATCAAATGAACCTGTTGAAGTATTGTTTACATATGATATTCGTATTGAATTATTATTATTATTATTATTATAACGTCGACTAAATAAACCATTTCGTATAAGAATAGCAAGTAAAAGAATATTTAATGGTAAACCAACTGATGCTGAACACACAGCAAAAAAAACATATTTATCATAATGAATATCAACTAATTCACTATAGAATTGATAAGCTGTTTCATTATAAAAAAATGATAAGTCGGATTCATTGTCAATCATTATTTTGAGATAATTCTATTTAGTTGCTAAAGAAAAAACCCAAAATAGAAAATTAATATTGTCTAAAAAAAAACCAAAGTAAATAACTATCTATAAATATTCACATTTAATTCTAGTAGATGATAATTAACTATTCCTAGAAGATTTAATTATTTCAATTCGTTTCTTTTTTTTTTACTCACTCTTTATTATTGATTGAAATATTTTTTTGGATATTTATTTAATATAAGAGAATCGACAATTTTATTCCTATATGATAAATATTTTGTATCTTATGAAAATTTACAATAATCATTGTCATGTTTTTCTTTTGACATTTTTACTATTAATGCTAATGGTAATGCCAACTGGTCTCCTGATTTCTCTTTTTTCTTATGAAAAAAAAATTTTTTCTAGAATTGTAATAAGATGCATTACCATAATTCATCAAAATAATAGTAGACAAAAAGACTGATTATTTATTTCCTGTTTTTTTTCATACTCTTTTAATTTATTGACGTCATTCATTAACATTAAAGAAATAATGTTTTATTTTTCTTCTTTCTTTTTTTTTTCTTTTCTGCGTCGAGATTAATATATTTCATCGATCTAACTAAAGAAAAACTATTGATTGATATTCTCGAAATATTATTGAAATTCTACTACTATTTGTTCAATATTATTTATATTTAATTCAAATATTTAAGTAGTGAGAAATACTTTTCTTCATTTTTTTCTATTATTATTATTATTATAAATAATTATATCTTATATTATTGACATTCTCGTGTAGGTTTTTTTTTTCTACTATGCATGAGATAAAACTAATTAGAAAATATTCCCTAAGGTTAAGACTGCATAAGTTCCAAAGTTTAAATTCTTATCAATATGCTAATTGTACCGATCAATATATTTACTGAATAATTAAAATAGATGTACTTACAACACAACAGACTAAATATATTCGTCTAGCAGAATAAGAACATCTTGACCTAACTAGATGATGGCTATTTTCGTGCTATTTACGTCTATGATTGTGAGTCTTTTTGATAATTATTCGTTTTTGTCGTATATATGACTAAATTACGTTTATCTCAAGAGAATCGTTTAAATATAAAGAAACTAATAGTTGAGAATTTTGTATATTTTGTTTATCGATCTCTAATTTGTCAATAATCAAAAAAAAAGAATGATCAAGTCATTTTGTTGACTAGTAGAGATGTACCAATTTCAATATCAAGTTTTGACTTGGAATCGAATTTTTAATTTATGTAAATTAATACAAAATTAATAATTCTTTTACAATGAATTTCACTTTTTGTAATAAATGTATTTCTATTGAATAGGCATATTATACATGTAACCTTGAAGAAAAAAATCTCAAAAATATCAATTTGTCATTTTTATGAATTTTTAATCATTTTAAAAACAATAGGAAAAATAGTTTTTCTTCTCAAAATAAAATACAGAAATTGAGAAAACAAATAACCAATGATTCATAATGAATAAACTCTACAATATACCAATAAAAACATTTTTTTTTCAAAATGGACAAAATTTTGTTCGGTTAATTTTCAATACTACAGACATGATCATTTTTTTTTATCTCATCGATTGAAGACAATTTTATTCATTGACAAAAACATATTTTTCATTAGAACAGATCTATGCTGCTTGCAATTTGGTAGGAAGCAGAGAAACAAGAAGGCATAAACTCAAACGATAAAATATTCAAAGGAGAATTATAATTTGATGAGGTACATCTTCAATTATGTTTTAACCTGATGAATGATTAATACCTGAAAATTATATTGAAGTTATTCTCAATACGTTAAAAACTATGATTTTTTTTTTATTGAAGAAATACGAAAAGGAATTCGTCGTCTGCCAAAAAAGAATCTTGTTCGCAGCGTTAAAAAATTGATTACACAGAATTTCGTCGATGTTATGTATATATATTAAAAAAAAAGTCTTCTTATTGATATATTGCAGAACGCTTTTCACATCGCATCTTGTGACATATATTTTATTTTTGAAAAAATCGCACAAAATAATAAAAAAAAAATACAATAACCAGCCATTCATTATAGAGCACTCTCAAGTATTACTTGAATAAAAAAGTATTTATATGAAATTAAACATGATATGATGAAAAAAAAACAAAGAAAAAAAAGATCGCTTATTATAAATTCTTTTTTTTTTAATTAATTTTCTCCTTGATACACAGTATTCTTTCTTCTGTATGATTGTTAATTAATGATAAAATGTGTCAAATGAAGATGAAATAATTTCTAGTAGATCTATCTAATGAAAAAGATGAATGTACAATTAATAATGTCGAGATAATTTGTTTCGCAAAAGATTTTCTCAAGAAGTTAAAATTTTATCAACTAAGAAGAGACGCGGTATAACTAGGAGTAAAATACTCTAGGCTGGATTTGAGCGTAAGTTGTTTTCTTTAACTGAAATTATTAATTTTAATATTTATAAGCAAAATGTCCTTCTTCAATTATGAGTTTTAGTTTTCTTAAAGAAGCTATTGCACTAGATTTTTTAATATGTCTATCTCAAGTAATGATCTTAAACAACTGAAAGTTTGATCAAATATTTTCTTAATGATCTTGGAACTTTTCATATTTTATTATTGTTAATATAATAATTCAAGTTTCGATTATTACATGTATATGATCAAGATCTTTCTCGAACTTATTTATTTCATTCCTTAATATACCATAGTCAAGAATTGTTTAGTTATCTTTATTGTATGAAATTCTTGTTTACATTACCTTGAATAAATTGAACAATTAATTAGCATTCTTTTCTTCTCGTAATGAAATAAGCGATAATACAACTAAAAAATGTCTCAAACAATCGTTTCCGAAATAATTCGATGATTCGATTCAGTTCATTTATTATCTATTTGTTAGAATATGATAAATTATATATATGGTCTTCCTTTTTACATTCTCAAACGATAATTTTTTTTCTACTGTCCTATTTTCTCCATCATTGTAGGTATATTATAATAATTCAATGGTTGATAAATGAAGGACAACAACTCTTGCTGCAGCCCCATGTCGTTTGTATTTTTGTTTGATATTTACATATACTGATAGAAAAATGACAAAACTGACGTCTTATTACAAAAATTATTATTCAGATCAATGAAAAGAGAAAGAATAAAAGTGAAATTCAATACCATAGTCTGATTTCATTCGAAAAACATAGGGTGAAGAGAAATTTGCTTAAATGAACATTCTGTTATTAGGCAATGAATCATAGAAATCTATGTGGTTACATAGAAACTATTGAAAATTTTCTTTTTTTCTAAATACTTATTGTTTTGAGCTGAAAGTTTCACGTGATTGAAATCATTATTTGAAATAGATACAGTAAACTAATACGATTATCTAGGAGAAAACAGTTTCTAGGACAAAAGTTGTTGTATACAAATTCAATGTTCTTTTTTTTTTGATATGTCTATTTCAATACATATCTTTTCACAGAATGAAATGCGTTCTCAGACAAAGGAAAAAATATACTCATCAAGTGTAACTCGGATCACTGTTCAAAACAATGGATTTATTTCAGGCATTGCTCAACTATTTAACATCGGACAAAAAAAGATTTTTTCACCAGTAGATAGTTCAAAGTGTTTTCTACGAGTCTATATAAAAATCTCAAAAAAAAAAAATTAATTTTTTCATAGAGTTTTTCCAAAAATGGTGAAAGTCCTGAGAAAATGATCCGAATTACATCAGTTAGAGTAATTCAGATTATTCCAGCAATTTTAGCTGGCGAGAACGTTGAAAACCACTAGCATTTTTTGAGTAGGTTTTCAAGCATCGTTTCTGAAACAAAAATAAATTGATTTGACCGACTATCATTCGAAATAATGAAATATCAAAAAAATTACATTTTTTTTCAACTCATCCCTTCTCTCTTTGGATTAAAATTTCATTTTTATGAGAAGTCTCACAAAAAAAAAATTTGACTTTTCGGATACAAAAATGTTGTCGCTACAAACTGATAAAAAAAATTAAAATTATAAAATCTATCCTTAAGAAGCTGCACAGCTAATAACTAATGTTCACTTGAGTTTAATATCGCATAGTGCTTTTTCACTTATCTTAACTGCTGGTAAACATATAATCATTGTAATTCATGATGTCACTTCTCCATAAGTACTTCTCTGATTCGTTAATTTGATTCATTCCTAATAGCATTCTGTTTTCTGTGGCTTCTTGCATGTTATCTAGAATCAAGAATTATTATTTTTATATGAGCTAGTGGCTACTAATTAACTTTGCACTTTCTCAATCCTCAATATTATGAAATAATAGGTTTTGTATTTCAGAAAATTGAGTAAAAGTAGCATTAAGCGATACTAACCTCATGTGAATATCCATTGTTAGCCGTGTAGCTTCTTAAGAGTAGATTTTATAATTTGAATTTTTTCATCAGTTTGTAAGGAGAACATTTTTATATCTGAAAAGTCAAAGTTTTTTTTTGTGAGACTTCTCATAAAAATGAAATTTTAATCGAAAGATAGGAAGGATGAGTTGCAAAAAAGAATGTCATGTTTTTGATATCTCATTGTTTCGGTTTATAGTCTGTCAAATCAATTTATTTTTGTCTCAGAAACAGCGCTTGAAAATCTACTCAAAAAAAGCTAGAGGTTTTCAAAGTTCTCGCCAGCTAAAATTGTTGGAATAATCCGAATTACCCTAGCACGTTTTCCTTGAATAATCCAAATTACTCCAACTGGTGTAATTCGGATCATTTTCTCAGGACTCTCACCATTTTTGTAAAAATTCTATGAAAAAATTAATTTTTTTTAGATTTTTATATAGACTTGTAGAAAACATGTTAGACTATCTGCTGGTAAAAAAATCTTTTTTGTCCGATGTAAAATAGTGAAGCAATGTCTGAAGTCAATCAATGTTTTTGAACAGTGATTCAAATTACACTCGATGACTATATATTATTGAGCACATTTCAATATATGTGCTCAATGTTAT